GGTGGAAACGGGATAAAGGACACGGCGCTCGTGTCATTCCGAAAATAAACGCGTCGCCACACGAGCGAGCAAAAAGACGCCATCCGCGCATCGGGCACAGACGGCACAGCTGCTGTGTTCCAGAGATATCGATTGCAAAAAGTACAGACAGACGGAGACTTAGCGCTGTGCACACACTCTTTGTTAACGTATAGGGTTACGATAAATCCCCTCGGCTTAGATGCACCGTCTCAATGCGTACGGTGTACGACGGATCTGATGTATGAATGAATGTAACATAATAAAGCTGAAGAGTTTGTTTGTTTGAACGCGCTAATCTCTGGAACTACCATTCGTCGTATTTGATAGGCCAATTCTTGAGGAAGGTTATAGGTTATTTAACATCACGCTACGACTGAACGGGGGCGAAGCAGAAACGAGTCTCGCCGATGAAATTGAACGGAACAGCTGTATATGATATTCTTTGCACAAACAATTTATATTTTAAATATTATTATGTCAATATCAATCTTTTATTTTTGTTAATTTTAGTTTTTTTCTTCTCTTTTATTGTGTGCGTCCTTTTTTGGTAAATAAATGTATTTTCTCTTTTTTCAATATATTTTTCATATTGAGTACGGTTGATGCTCATAGCTGCGTTGCAATAACATACCGTGACCATTTGCAAATTTTCACGTAAACTTTTTCGTTGCAAGTTTTATTGGCGTATTCAATTTCTTTTTTATTTTGTTCACTAGCGACCCGCCACAGCCTTCCATAGGTGCCATCTATGAATTTCTCGACGTTTATCTGTTATAATATGTATTTATACTGCATATAAGCCTTCCGCTTGAATCACTCTATCTATAGTTGAAAACCGCATTGAAATCCGTTGCGTAGTTTAAAAGATCTAAGCGTACAAACATCGGGAGCGACTTTGTTTTATACTATGTAAAATAAGCAATAACAATAGGATAGTAATTATTCAATTATTTACTATTGCACCTTTCGAATATCTTCCTTTTCAGACCTCTGGGGAGATGAAATTGTAGTGGTTGCTCTAATATAAAACACGCCGATTATACTTTTGCAAATTTTCCCTGGTGAGGTATTAAAACTGCCCATAAACACCAACACGGGAAGCTATTGAAAGCTATCTAATTTTATATACATTTATACGACATTATTGCACTTTAACCGCCGTCGTTTTGGTGCAGTGCAGTCCTTAGGCTGATCTATTGCGTTTCGAATAAGGGCATCAGGATATTCTTGTTAGCACGACGGATTACTTGGAATCCGTCGCGCTCGCTGAATCCTGTTCATTTTCTCTATGGTTTTTTGTCTAATACATCATTTTCTGAATAGCATTTGATTCCTGGTATCATGATATACATTTTGTTGCATATTATCAATAGGAATCGCCTGTGCTTTTCATCATTAAAAATATAACAAACAACAAATTACACAACACAATTATCTACAGCTGAACATAACTGAACTGTACAAATCGATATTAACTTCGATTGGTAAACATATATTGGAAAAATAATAATTGAAAGTGATTATTTTAACAAAAATAAAACCGACTTCAAACCGGAAACTAAAAAACATTATTAATACCTATAACATTTGGGGATTGCCCTCGATTTCTCTAGGATTCCATCATGAGATCTGGGTTTCCTTATCATGATACCACCGTTGGGATATCGCCTTTCCAACAAAAAAAGGATCATCAAAATCGGTTCATAAACGACGCAGTTATCCGCGAACACACATAAAAAAATGTATACGGTCGAATTGAGAAACCTTTTGAAGTCGGTTAAAAAGTCATATGACGTCAATACGAGGGCTGTGAAAAAATAATCGATTATTTCTTAACGTAAAATCGATCGATTTATATCAAATAAATTATTTATTTATTATGTTTATCATTTAATATCGTTTTTTTTTATTTTGATATTTTAGATACTTTTACTTTATCATTTAAATGCATTGATTCTTGTTGCTAAAAGACAAACCAAGAAACTTTACGACCACTGTCTGAACTAAAAAATATTCGCTTGAAGCATTCGGTCTCCTCGGTAATCTGCTTTAAATATTTGCTAATACGTCACCTGCTCAAATGATTAACTTTCAACGTACATTTTACGTTCTTCACCATACAGTGATTGTTAGTTTTATTTCATGGATTGATTCATAGTTGATTCAATGAAGAAGTTCTTTTTCATTTATAGGTATTGTTCGGAAACAGTAACGTGTGAATTAAGATTTTCATTCCAAATAAGTTTATTTGTAAATTTCCTATATGTTGCTACTCTATTTATTAAACTAACTTTGAAAAAGAACGTCTTAGTGTCAGGGGGCTCACTGATCACGAGGTAAAATTCTAGAAGCATTCTTCAATGAGCTTTCCGGAAAAAAAAACATGAAAAACGTATTCACCTCTATTTGGTACTAAGCAAGCTTGTACTGGGCATATTATTGTCAATATTTAAATATTACCAGTAAGATTTAAAACCATGCATGCTTGCGTTGTTAAAACATAAAACAACCAGTAGCATTCGTGAGAGATCTGTGAAAATGTGCCAAAAAAGAAATATGTGCCCGCTCTGCAACTATTTTTGAATACTGTTCAAAATTCGAACACCGCCGTACTGACAGGTTGTCAACCGTCAACCTCCTTTCTCGTGACACTAGTTTAATAAGCGCTGACAGTTTTGGCAAGTGTTTCAACTGATAATAACGATAACCTTATTAACGAATTTGAAAAATATACAGGGCTTCCGATGCTATTTACAAAATGCCAGGGATAGGTAACGTTTAAGCTTAATCCCGCTATTTATTATTTTTATATTTATATCTAGAATTTATACTAAAGCTTACTCTGTATATTTTTACAATAAAATGATGTCTGCTTCTGTTCTCTTACTAAATTTCCATTTAGCAACTGAAAACTTTTTGTCTGTGCTACGGCCGCTACGCAGTCTTTGCTGCTGCAGGGATGGGATGGCTCGTCCGAAAAGAGTCGCTACCTCACATTTATTTTAAATATTTAAAACTTACAGAACAGTCATTGTACGATCAAATTTAACAAAATTAAAGGTCAATTAAAAGTTTACACTATTAAAAAATGTGGTATAGAATTACATGTACAAGTAATAAACTTAAACTAACGGTAGTTATACACAGTTAATAAGTGAAACATAAAACCAGTGTGAAGAGAAATTTTTATACTATGCGTTGTTGCCATCTTCATATAAAAGAAATAAAACGGGTTATCAAATCCCTTCTTTTAGTAAACCTAACGTAAATAGATAAACAAATAATTTTATTATGTTTTTACAGGAGACTTAATGAAATGAAATTTATATTATTATAACTAAGAAATAATTTAGTAAATAAATAACCACGAGGCAATTGCAATCCGCACGCTTCCTCAACGTCCGGATGTTTACCAAGACTGCCGCGAGCACGTGTCTTGCTCCCGAAATACTCACGCTCATAAGATCGCGTCCATATAGAACTCCACTTCATGATGATAAGATGAGATTACTATTTGCCGATATATATTAAGATTGCCGATAAGATCACGTCGACCGTCATACAATCGATAATTGTTTTCTACACTATAAACATATATCTATTGCAATTTCTAAACGAAAATATTAAAATAATGCCTTGATATAAACGACAAAATCAAAATATAAACATAGACACTGTTTCACACGTCGTTAGCAGCGTACGAATCGAAATAAAGACGTTTTACAATAAATGATTAAATGTGGTGAGTAATTAAGATTATATGTGAAAAAGAAAGGTATTAAATAATTGCATTCCAACTTGTTCGAATGCATTTTGCAAGATAAATAAACACGCTCGGTGCCACAGTTATATTAAGCTGTAGGCTTCGGTGGCTACGGTGCTTGAAAACTTGATAATCTACTATATTCTAATACAAAACATCAAAATGTTGCAGATGACGTTACAATATCACATGACACTGGAGTCAATGAAACAATAAATTGCATTTCAATGTCTTCGGTTCGAAATATCAATAGATGCATTCTAAATTATCTGTACATGGATGTGGAAATGGTGGGAAAAAAATCTCGAAGCAATTTTTACCTACAGATGAATCTATTAAAGCTACCAAGCTACCTAAGCTTACCAAAGAAATAGGAAAGAGTAATCGGAGGCGAACAAAATCACACGAACCAAAGATAGAGGAAAGAATAAACAGAGGCGAACGAAATCACACAAGATCGATCCGAAAAGCGTTCAGCTGGTGTATCCGCGCTACGTCCTCCCCTCTGCTACGCATTCTGTGGTATTTTGGTACTGGATTCCCGGCGACAGTTTGGACTCGGCCCAGTCGCGGGCGCACTTCTAGCAAACGCGCCACGGGATCGGCGCTTTCATAACAAACGTACGCAACGTTTGAAAAGAACTACGATAGGCTTGTGTCCAGTGTTCAGTACAAGGCTCGGAATAACTCCGAAATACGTTTAAAAGTCTTATACTCCCTAAACTTAATCCTAAGGGTCAAAGAAAAATACTAATAAGACAAATATTTCAGAATTGACTGAAACGCCTAATTCTACTGTGATGTAACCGTTATGTTTCTGTATTAACAGGCTATGAAAGACTTCCGTTTGTGTTAAAGTTTCTTTTTTTAATGAATTATTAGCATATAACAAAACTGGTGATGTTAGGCAATCGTCAAACAAGTTAGTTTTATACAAGTGTTTAAAAATAGAAGTAGAATATACAGTTTTTGCAGTTTATTTTATCAAGTGTCAAACTATTAGAAGAAAACACATCGATAATTTAAACGTGGTTTCGTAACGGACGGTCAAAATCGTAAAGTTTCCATTCCGAATGTTTCCCGAGTGTCGCGTCAGGAGAGTGACTCACGCCCGCGAGTGGCCGCTATAAAATCAAAGAGCAAAACGAAACAATAAAATCTCGACTATTCCGAGATCGTGCGCCGAAAAGCGAGCAATCCGACGGGCGTAAACAAAATGGCCCCAGCCCGGCACGCGACATCGCTTATACACCACGGTTTGTTTATTTTTGTTGCCGTCTCGCTCGCGCTGCCGAAGGTGAACGAAGGCGCGACGAAGGTGTACGAGAACGCCCGAAGCTACAATCACGAAGAGAAGAGGTTGACGAGAGAATATCACTTGAGACAGGGTGCGTTGAGAGGGCTGATCGTCAAACCTGGACGGCAGTACGACCTACAGAACGTTGAAATGTTCCTGGGCATTCCGTATGCTGCTGCGCCCGTAGGTACTTTGAGGTTCATGCCGCCTGGTGAGTTCCATCAACCTAATACAATACACCACATCATAATCTTCCAAGATATAATTGTGAACAGACTTATGCTACTTGTGAGTGAGTGATATCGGTCGTCTGAATTTGAAACTTGTATTATTAAAATCATTAACGATCTAAACAAGTTGCCTTTCTTCGCAGCATTGGCACTAGTTTAGTATGTAGATACGAAACTAGTTCCAATTCTGCTAATAAGTATAGAACTGACATGGATTTAAAGTCCAGTACGATTCCTGATAAGTTAATGGACACAGTCACATTATACGGAGGCTAATTAAATAAACATTTCTTTTAGGCATCTCTAATTAATTGGGTGTTGGAAAGTCGATGGGAAGCAGTAATTTTGTAATGTGAAAAATGTGGAAAAATTTTACAGTATTTAATAATTTTATCTGCTCTCTACTGAAACAAAAAGTCAATTTAGACATTTAATAAGGGCGAAGGACATAGTATGGCACATTCTTGCGTAAAAGTCATTTAGAGTGGAGAATTAAAAATTAACATAGAGATGAAAAGTAAACGCAACCCTCTGAATAATAATGGCATTGGTATTACAAAGCACGCTTGATTTTTTCGGCAAAAGTACACCTATAACCCGTTTCTCGCAATATTGTGCAAAATTAAAACGAAATGAAGAATGAATCATAAATTCAATTAACTGCTTTTCTTACTTTTATTGTTTTTTTCTGTGCTGAATTTGTCAAAGAAAGAAAAGTTCCTTTAAAAATTTATAATCTTAATTCAGGTTTTATTTTGGATGCGTTATTAAATCGTTTATAAAATGAAAACGAGGTGCGGGGACGTTACGCATTTTCATCAAAGGACTTGACCGCTATTCGTAAATGAACTGTATTGCATATACATTTTTAGGGTTCCGTGACCAAAGGGTAATACTAAGACTCCGCTGTTTGTCCGCCTGTCTGTCTGTCCATCTGTCCGTGAAAAACATAATAAAATAAAAGATATTTCAGGGGGCTCCCATTCAAGAAAAGTGCGGCGGTTGCTAAGCAACGGTTGCAATTTTATTATAATTGGTATGGAACCCTTCGTGCGCGAGTTCGACTCGCACTTAGCCGGTTTTCTTTAGCTTTCGTCTTGCGTTAGTCTTTTCATGTTTTAAGTGTTCATATCATTGTCATTCTCTACTTCTATTCACAGTAAGCGCGCCGCCATGGCCTGGTGTGAAAATGGCAACTCATTTTGCACCGGTTTGTCCACAATCACTTCCTGTGATTAAAAAAGGGGACCCGCCTTCGTTAGGAAGACAGAACTACATGAATAGACTGAAGCAGTTCCTGAAAGAAGAGTCCGAAGACTGTTTATACTTGAATATCTACGTTCCTTACAGAGGTAAGTTAAGTGACTTCATTATGAACAATTTATAATATCACGATAACTTTAAGAACGCAAATAATTTATGTTTTAAAAATACTTCAGATATTTTTGGATAAATCAATAAAACAAATACTTTTCTAGAAAACTAACTCAGCCCTTGACAATAGAATTAGAAGTAAAAAAAAAATCTTCTATTTTATAAATTACCGCATAAAGCAACGGAAACTATATTAAATAAAACACACGTAGTTAAAAGCTTTTTCGTTGCCTTTTTGAACTTATTTTAGAAACTACAGTTCGTTTTTAATAAAAATAAATAATACTATTTCCACAAGTAACAATGTAATTGAATAAAGAAAACTAGATCAAAACATTGTGACCTATTCTAATATTCATAGAGACTAATAAGACTTAATAATGAAAACAAAAAACAGAATTGTATTTTATTAGAGTATCTGCATTAACTGCTTTAAAAATACATTAACTGTTTCTATTTCTCTCATGTGGGAATTCTATATATTATCCGGTGCACTAATGCCCGGTTTCTGGAACACTGATCATCGTAGAAGTTAACTGATCAGCTGTCAAATGGCCTTTCAAATTTTATTTAAGGTGCCAAAAGGATGGTTAAACTCTCTGAATTAATCAGGATGATCTTCTTAATGACCAGAACGATCAATTGAAAGAGGTTAACCATTGTTTTGACAACTCAAATGGCATTTCAAAAGCCATTTGACAGCTGATTAGTTAACATCTACGATGATCAGTGATTCAGAAGCCGGGCGTAAGCGTATCGTTCAGCAATTCCCGCGGAAACATCAAGTGTCTGTATGTGCCTTTAAATAAAGATGCGTTAACATCTATTACAATATCGGGGTCTGATTGGGACCACATGTGGTTTTGCCTGTTTGCCACATGAGTATGAACGTATACATTATTAGAAACAGTTACTTTAATCATGGAACTGTATAGCTCAATGCCTGGAGCGTCCCATTTTATCACACCCCGCTTACTAACCTCGCATATTTCCATAGAGTTTAACGTGTTGATTTTTGAGTATATTGTTACATACTTAAATGGAAGATATAAAAATTATTTTTTCCTATAATCACGCGAACAGTACATATTATTGTCATGTATATCCTGCGACTGCGAACGCTGCAAAGTAAAGAAAATCTATTGGAATCTTCGGGAACTAAAATTAAAAATATACGCGATAAATCGATAAATATTCTTTAATTTAACAATATTAAAAATTATATATAAAATACATAAAGGTTTCTTTGAAGATATATAAAAATGTTGGTTATTTATTGAAATCGCTTAATAAACCTACCTACTTCATCAGCTTTTGTTGAGTCAGTGGCGCAGTTGCAAAGCGTCGGTGGTCGTCGATTCGATTCCCTTAAAATATTATACCATTGCGGAATATATTGACGACGCCAATGTGTGGAGTTAATACGTTGACACTCATGTAGGCTATAATAAGACTATTATAACTGTAGCATTATATTGTAAACTCATCTTTTTAAAAAAAGAAACTGTTGAGTTTCTTGCCGGTTTGTTCTAAACAGAAACTGCTTTCCGAATGAAATGTAACGTAATGTAAACCGGTGGTAACTTACTGACGAAAGTATTATTTTTTATGTAAAACTTCGACGTTTCATTCTTATGTGCAAGCGTCTATGTGAATAAAGATATTTTGAATTTGAATTTGATAAGATTAGTATTTGTGTCTCAGATAAATACTCCGCACTTTCTATTATTTCCTTCTAACCAGTTTTAAATTATAATACAATATAAATTGTACTTCTGTAGACTGTTAATACACTATTTGTTTATTTAATATGACTAAAGACGAGCGTCAGTAGAATTAGGTCAGATGCTTGAAATGAAAATAAAATTTGTCGCTACGTGTAAGTTACTCACGCTCCATTAAAACTGCTTATTTGTATATCTGCTGGAAATTCGATGTCCCTAATAAGCCATGTCCCACACATGAATTTCCATGACATTTTTCCTACGAACGCATTTTGTTAAAGGAAAAACTAAACATGTTTCTCTCTTACATTCGTTCTGAAAAAAGTGTAATATATTAATTCAATCGAGCTTGCTGGTCCAAAGTATCATATTTTTATTCATGAAAAATGTGGGGAACTTTTGCTAAGACCTTAAAAATTAAGGTAAAAGCCTATATATGGCCCACTGCTGGGCAAAGACCTTCTCTGTACAGAAGGTATCAGGGCATAGACCACCACGCGGCCCCACTGCGGATTGGCGGACTTCGCGTATCTTAGAGATATTTTTTGTTATTATTTCTAAAATATGCAGGTTTCCTCGCGACGTTTTCCTTCACCGCTGAGCACGTGATAAGTCAGCACTTAAAATTAACAATTTCATTGGTGCCGGCACCGGGGATCGAACTCAGGTTGCTATAGTTGATTGATTTAAAGGCGAGCGCCCGGATACAGCTATCACGGGTCAGTTAATGGGACGAAATTTTAGTAATTTGGGGATCAATAATATAAATACAAGCTACAATTTGAGAGCCCATCCACCAATACTTGTTCTAATTTTCAAGGAGATATTTACATTCTACCATATCTACCCTCTGTGCTAATGTTTTCTGTATTGGACAAACAAAGCTATAAAAAACCGTTGCGATGGCGCCGGCAACCCAATTTCTAGAGTAAATATACGCCAATCAATCTTCGTGTTGTTTCACCGATCCGGCATTTCTTAAAATACGACCGGTATAGAAATTCATTCCGTAAAAATTTTGACTTCTTTACATTCGTAAAAAAAAATGTTTTTTTTCTCTTCCATATCGACATTTCTTTTTTCAAAGTACTATAGTTACTTCTGCAGAATTGTCGTGTATGCTTTTTACCTTTTTTCTTTTTAGTTGTTAATTGTTAAAAAATTGCTACGTACGGTGGTAGAACTATGCAGCAGCCTCAGCAGCTGTTGCACGAATGGGCAGGCTCGTCCGGGTAAATACCACGACCTCACAGAAGACCGTTGTAAAGTGAAAGTATAATACTTCGCGTTTCGTCTGGTGAGTGAGGTGGCCGGAGCCCAATTTTCAAAAGGTTGTCAACACTTCTGCAACCCTCTGGTAGCAGATGTCCATGGGCGGCGGTATTCACTTAACATCAGGTGAACCGTCTGATCGTTTGGCAACTTTTCACATAAAAAAAAAAAAAATTGCCCTTTACCTTAATACATCATTGTCCTGTGTTGTAAGGACGTTATCGTACATAAATATCACGCGGGAAAATGCTTAAAGCAAAACTTACAACCTAAACAACAGATGCGAAACAACTATCTGTGAGCCGCACAAATAGTTGTCCCGTGTTTGAATCGAACCCACGACCCCCGACGACAAAGCAACTGCGCCACGGAGTCTCTTTAAGTCCTAGATTCAAATATCGGTGATCAAGTTTTTCGCTCTTCGGATTTGCGATTTGCGATTTGCTTCGGATTGACGTGCGACTACATTCACATTTTATTCACATTTTTTGGCTGGCAACACCTGAATGGACGTTATATTTGGCCTTGACTATGGAGGATAGAATAAAGGAGGACCGTCTCGTATGGGGGATTAGTCGAAAAAGTGTCCACTTGTAAACAGCAAATTATTGTTCGAACTCTCACCGAAATAGCGCTAGTGTAGCAAGTGGAAATAATATGAACTTAGCAGTCATAAGCGAGTGAAGTGTGCTGGGTTGAAAAATTTAATATTTCTCTTGACTTTTGTAGTTTTAATTAAATTTTTTTGTTTCTTTAATTTTATAATTCAATTTTTTTTGTTTCTTTATGTTTCTTTCTTTCCTAATTTGGCACTCTTTATTCCATATTCATTTTTGTCTATATATCTCTTTGACATTGACTGATTATTGGTGAATGTAGCAACATTAATTGAAATACATTTTAATGGCTGTCAATTATGACGTTTCTAAAATTAATATTAGTGTCATAACATTTTTAATATAATGAATTAACATATTAACGCTCTGTTTCTGAAACACTGATCAATTAGTCAAGTCAAACAAGAAGTCAATTAATCAGCTGGCAAATGGATTTTTAAATGTTTTTTGAGTTTCCAAAAGGATTAAACTCTTTTAATGGATCATTCTGATTATTAAGAAGATCATTCTGATCAATTCAGAGCATTTAACAAGTATATTCACACTATAAATTTAACATTTTTCGGATTTTTCACTTTTTCTTTATAATTGCTGCACGGTGAGAATAAACCTTTTTTTTATGTGAAAGGTTGCCAAACGAACAGACGGTTCACCTGATGTTAAGTGAATACCGCCGCCCCCGCGCCACCCGATGGTTACAGACGCGTTGACAACCTTTTTGGAAAATGGGCTCCGGCCACCTCACTCACCAGACGAAACGCGAAAGTATTGTACTTCCACTTTACGCCGGTCTTCTGTGAGGTCGTGGTACTTACCCGGACGAGCCTGTCCATTCGTGCAACAGCCGAGGCTGCTGCGTGGCTCTACCACCGTAAACCTACCTGTCATGATTTTGGGACAGAAATACACTGTGCGAAATATGGATCGAATTAACTACTCACTCCTACCCGCCATAGCTCACTGTCCGCGCGCTTGCTTTTAATGCAATATACCCGAGCAGCCTGAGTTCGATCCCCGTTGCCAGCACCAGAACCAATGAAATTAATTTTAAGTCGTGACTTATCACGTGCTCATATTTTCTAAGCAATAACAAAAAAAATATTTCGAAGATATATGAAATCCGCCAATGCGCAGTGGAGCCACGCGGTCGTTTATGCCCTGTTATCCTCCGTGCAGAGGAGGCCTTTGCCCAGCAGTGGGATATGTACAGGCTATTACTTAACTACTCATCTGTTTTTGCTGACCAAATGAACAAACACATTGCCACCAAATGGTGGCAATATGTTTGTTCATTTTAATATGGGTTATTCAAACACTATCTATCGTCGTAACGTTTACTTGTAGCAAAGCACACATCCTGGGTTA